GAGGAGCCCCTGGGGCCTTCCTGGGTTTGGGATTTGGAAGGCTCCACAAAGGTAGGACAAGGGTTCGGGAAAACACAGGGCTCAGCTTGAAGAGAGGCAATGCCCAGTGCAGAAGGGCAGGCACGGACATCACTATAAGGGCACACAGAACACTATTTTCAGAGACAATGGTATGCTCAGAATTTTGGAGGGTGCACTTGCGAACAAGGAGCCCAGCCATGGGAACGGACAACAACATCTACCTCAATGTGGAGTAGCTTGCAGGACTGTGAGGTCTTAGAGGCTTTGGGTTTTCTTTCCTCGGACCGAAGAAACTTACTTCCAAATTTGAATCAGGGCTGGCTTTTGTTCTCTTCCTGAGAGTTCTCTTTCAGTTCCTGTTCTTGTTGGCCCCTCCTCAGTCCCAGCCTGTGTGACTCCAAGGGCTGGGCCTTGGGTGTAGGAAACCTGCATCCCTGTTAGAATCACTTATCTTCTGTGAAACAAACTGCCTTTTTTCTTCACACTCCTCACCACTAACAAAAGACAATACAAAAGATTCTTCTACTTTTAATATTTCCATCTGGCTTAGAATAGCAAGTTTTTGGATTCTATTACATCTAATTTAGGGGAGAGACGTGGGCATTTTTTTTTTCAGAGAAGCTCAATGTTCAGTAATGTGAGCCTAAAGATTTATAAAATAGATTTATATTAAATTATGTTAATAGAAGCCTAGTAAATGCACCATTAAATTGCATGGAAAAAATATTCCCTTTTAAGAGGTCTGTCACCTTAACAGGTACATTCAAAGATTCCCTGTGAATAATGAAAATAGGAACAATTGCTTTGATGCACTGAGCTGTATTCAGCGTCTAGGACAGCTTTAGGCTGTGTTTGGAGAGGGTGGGAGGAGCTCCTTTTAAAGCAGTGATTGCTCCTTTAAACCCAATTTCCTCTAGCAAATAGGTTCTATTGGGAGTGTCATTCCCCTCTCTCCCACACCCTTAAGGCTGGGCTGGAGATCCCACCCGGACCTCTCTCCCAGCTCCCTCTACTTTTTCTGCTCCCTCTACTTTTTCTCCTCCCTCCCAAACCACTCTAAACACCTTCCCACCTCCCTCAAAGAAATCTCCCAAGGAGTGCCTGAAAAGTGAGTAGAACCTGCAGGAAAGGTAGAGGTGGGAAGAAAAACAAAACAAAACAAAATAAAATCTGGTGCAAATAACTCTTCTCTTTCCATATATATGACCACCACCAGTGGAATTCTCTCTCTCTCTCTGTCTCTCTCTCTCTCTCTCTCTCACACACACACACACACACACACACACACAGACCCTCTTGCCTCCTGTGACCACTTTCAGTAAGAGCAATCACCTTTGTGACAATTCTCTGACCAGAGTAAACCAAGGAAACTGCATTTCTAATCCTGATCAGAACTGGTAGAGAGTGGGGGTGAGAAAAGGTAGGAGGAAGCCAAAAATCAAAGACTTCACATCCCCAAGTTTTTCTTTCTCTTAAAATACCTTTGGATATCCTTGGGGGGAGTAGGGGGAATGTGTGTGTAAGGGGGAGGGGAAGCAAGCTAAGATGACCACTTCCAAATATTTCAGAATAAGGGGAGTCTGTCGTCACCAGTGTCTCTGTCACCTGGGTCGGTGGATACCCCAGGGCTAGGCTGCTGCGGCCCTTGTGCCCCGGGCATGGTTTGCAATCAAGAAGCCTGGCCAAGTGCTACTATCAATGCTAGGTCCTTGGCCTTGGGCTTGTGGTGGTCACTGAGTGGGAGGGCGAAGGGGAAGGGTCTCTGGTCCTCCTTTTCTCTCAGAATGTCGGAACTGGGTTTAGAGCACAAGGGCAGGAGGTCGTCTTTTGAGCTCCCCACTCCCACCCAGAACCTCTTCCTCTTTCAAGCCACTGCAGGACTTGCTCTCAAAGAGGTGGATTTGACCACACGAAGAGCTCCTGCGGCCTACTTCTTTTCTCTCAGGAGAGCAAAATCCTAATTTCTTTTTTTTTTTTAAGATTTTATTTATTTATTTGAGACAGAGAGAATGAGAGAGAGAGCACATGAGAGGGGGGAGGGTCAGAGGGAGAAGCAGGCTCCCTGTCGAGCAGGGAGCCCGATGCGGGACTCGATCCCGGGACTCCAGGATCATGACCCGAGCCGAAGGCAGTCGCTTAACCGACTGAGCCACCCAGGCGCCCCCCAGTGTACTCTTTAAAAAAAAAAAAATTATTTATTTGAGAGGGAGAGAGAGAGCATGAGCAGGGGGAGAGGTAGATGGAGAGGGAAAGGCAGACTTCCCCTCTGAGCAGGGAGCCCGATGCGGGGCTCGATCCCGGGACTCCAGGATCATGACCTGAGCCGAAGGCAGTCGCCTAACCAACGGAGCCACCCAGGCGCCCCGCAAAATTCTAATTTCTAATTCTCGTTTTCATTCTCTCTCTCTCTCTGTCCATGATGTGTGTATAGGCCCCAAAGAGGCCGTGTTTTGGGGAAAACAGAATTCTGTTTTTCATGTGGGGGCATAATGAAAAGCTAGCATCTGGTGCTTGCCAGGTAGAGAAATTGTCAAGGGTGACCCCACACATCTCTTTAATAAATCTGTGGATATTTAACCTAAAGCGTTTGACTGATATCAAGATTGTTTAGCAGAGTATGTCCCAATGTTGGCCTAGGAGTTTTTCACCGAAGGTGAAACTGTAGGCCTTTAAAATCAGAGTTTCCTAAAGGCTTGTTAGGATTTGCAAACTTCAAAAATATCAAATGATTACTTTGGGCAGGAGTGGGAGAGAGGGTTTTGGGGAGATGTAAAATCTACCCTAGTAGACGGGAAACCTCATGGTTCACCCTAAAAGTGAGAGGGTCCACTCGGCACCGAATATCCTAGAACCTCCCTGAAACCCCTGGAGAGGTTTCTTCCGAGAATAGTATCTATGCCTGAAACTTTTTGCCTCTGGTGGGGGACGCATTGTTTATTCTCTTTTCCCTAAGGAACTTCCCCCAAAGACAGAAAGGAGAGGGGCTGAGACCATCCATCAGCCTAAAACCCGGTGAGAAGGGCTGGCACCGCGTGTCCTTCGCAGGGCGGTGGGGCTGGGTGTGGCAGGTGGCTGGCTCCGCGCTCCGGGCGCACGGCCTGCGGTGGGGGAGCCAGGCGAAGCACAGAGGCTCGGGTTCCGACCGGGCTCAGGGTCGGGGAGGGCCGGGGCCGAGCGCGGGGCGACTGCCCCCCTCCCCCCGCAGCCGGCTGTGGATGGGAGGGGGGCGGAGGCGTCTGCCCACCGCCCAGCTGAGGCTTCGCTTTGGGCAGGAGCGCGGAGAGCTGCCGCAGGGGCTCTTTGTCCTTCCTGTTACTTCCCGAAAAGGAATTCTCCGTAAACGCTTTGCGCCTCGAAACTCCTTTCCTCCCACCCTTATACTTATGCGCGGAGAGGCCTGTTTATTGGGAAGGAGGGAGATGGGATCTTCAGGACGGGCAGCGGGCGGGTGCCTCCTCCCCTTCGCCGCGGGTAGCGCGACGGGCCCAAGGCTCCGCGCGAGACCGAGAGACCGGGAGGCTGAGCCTCCCAGGCCGGGGCAGGAGCGAGCTAAATGCCTGTGACCGCTGCGCAGGACCAGGCCCAGGTCGGTGCACAAAGCGGCGACAGCTCCCTATTCAGTCCCTCCCCTCTGCCCCGGCCGGTACCCGAATGGGAGCTGACGACGAAAGTCCTTCTCTGAGCCTCGTGTGTGTGTGTGTGTGTGTGTGTGTGTGTGTGAGAGAGAGAGAGAGAGACAGACAGACAGACAGACAGACAGAGACAGAGAAAAGAAAGAAAAGGAAAGGAAAAGAAAAAAAGAGAGAAAAGAGGAAAGAAGAACTAATGAACTCTGGGCAGGGAAAAACCATGATCACATCCTTCCCCCTTTTCCTCTTTTCCCAAACTAGCTTTCTGACCTCAATTTTAGAGCCCCATCTCACTGGTAAGGTTTCAGTTCCTACATACTGAAAGTAAATCAGACCTAAAGAAACGTGTGTATGTGTAAACAGTTCTATGGCTTGAACCTCTTTGGTGGCATCTTTACAGAAAATAATCAGAGATAATATCAGTGGGTGTTAGTAGGCTCCGCTTGCAGGGAATGAGATCTAGTTTCCATATTTCCAGCTTCACTTGTCTTCTTTAGGTGACAGGCCCTGGCTGCACTGAGCAAAGAGCCAGGTTGCCTTGCTGAGGGCAGAGCCAGAGTAAATCTCCAGGAGCAGGTTTGCAGGACTTAACTCTGCAAGGTGATGGGAAAAAAGGGATTAGAAGGGAACAGATTTAGGTTAAAGTTAGGGAGACCAAGAAAAACTGCAAGAGTCCAAAGGCACCTCGGAGCTATTTTGGAAAAGTAAGAATATAAATCTTTGGGCAGAATAATTCCCTGTCCCTGCCCTTTTGTTTTCTCAGCACTGATGGAATCAGCCAGTTTCTTCGCTAGAGGAACAACCAGGAACTAATGTTTCCAGTCACTTGCAGCATCATTTGTAAGCTTCCTTGTGCATGCTTCCAACCTGTTTGATGGATTGTTGCTCTTCCTAAAACTAGTCTGACTATTCAAATTCCTTCACATACTTCAGGTTTTGGTACCAAGAGAGATGTGGGGGAAAGGGGGAAGAGGGGGACTGCTACAGAAAATAAATACTTAGGTAAGGGATTTTTACCTTTCCCTGCTAAATAAATCAAAAAGTTTGTCTGTCATTAATTGTCAGTGTCACTTTAAATGGAGTGACTTGTCCTATCAACTGTGAGCAGTTTAGCTATTTTGAGGATGGGGAGTTCCTACTTGGTAGGCAACATCATGACTGAAGGTGTGCCACAAACTCCTCCAACCAAAGCCCCACATGACTAGTTTTTAGTCAACGCTTTCCTCTAAATTTTCAGACATGCCCCCCCCCATCCCTCCATCCATGCCTTTCTCTAGATATGGGCGAGGGGGAGCCGGGGAAAGATGGTGAGCGCAAACACCACAAATTTAAAACCTTGATTTTGTTTCATTTATTTAAATAAATATAAATATAAACTTTATATAAAACTATTCACATACAAAGGGACTTCGCAACTTGAGTTCCAATCTCTCCCCAGGCAAATTTTCAGAAAACGAGACCTACAGGGTTTAATTTTCTAAATTATTTGCAGTTCAATACTTTCATTTAAAAAACAACAACAGAAAATAATCCAGAAACCCCGTGTTCTTCTTAGGTTCTGAAAGACAGTAGGGAAGGGGGAAATGACATGCGCTTTCAAAATCCCACATACAGTGCTAAACTTAAGCCAACCATGTTGTTTTTTTCTCTGTTATATGACAAGGCTGAGTTGAATCTAGATTATTTACATTTAAAAAAATGACCTATAACTTTGAGTGTAGCTTCAAACAAATAGGTCAAGGAGGAGACTTGAAGGGTCAGGCTGGGCACGTATGCCCGCAGAATGCTCAGCTCCGTCCTTCTGCAGATGGGACCACAGAATGGGCGAGGATTTGGGCCCCTGGGTGTCCGCCGCGTTGGTGTTGTGGGGGCTGCCAGGAGCGTGTGGTGAGAGGGAGGCGGCCCTCCTTCATAAGGGAGAAATCTCCTTGTCATCGTTGGCCGAGGCCGGCGACAAGGAGTCCTCATCCTCGGAGCGCGCGTAGTGCGCCTGGCTGCCGACACACTTGCAGCCCGCGTGACTGTTCCTCTGTGTACCCTTCCCTTCTTTCTTATGCTTCACCCGGCGGTTCTGAAACCAGATTTTCACCTGCTTCTCTGACAGGTTCAGGTATGTCGCGATTTCGATCCTCCGGAGTCGAGACAGGTACATGTTGGAAGAGAATTCCCGCTCCAGCTCCAGGAGCTGCGTGCTGGTGAACGCCGTCCTCATCCTCTTGCCATTGGGTACCTGGCTGGCGTCCGAGCCCCCTGCAGACCGGCCAAGAGAGGGCAGAGAGGTAATTCTCGGGTGAGGCGATCCCACCCCACGTGCCATCCCTTGGAAAGGACGCCTCTCCAGGACCCACCCGCGAAGCTCAATCAAACACCTGTATCCATCCCTCACCCTTTCCCATTTCAGGGCACTTCTTTACTCGGCGGGGAAGGACAGAGACGCCCACAGCAAGTGAAGGCCTTTGATGTGTGAGTTGTAAAGTCAGAGGCTTAAAGAGGGGTGGAGGCTTGCATTGTCCGGTCGGCTCCCTTCAAGCCTAGCAGAGAGGCAGGCAGGCTTAGCCAAAAGCGTCGAAAGGCTTTAGCTAGCCCCGATGACCGAATGCCACACTTAAGTTCAAACCTACCCACCCCGCACCTCAGCCAGTTTAGCCTTCGGTTTCTCAACCCTCAAGTTCGAGGTCCCAAAGGCCCCGATATTACGCAAGACTCGGACACCAGGTACCGGGAGTGCACGCACCAGGCTGCTTGGAGAGGTTCGAAAGCTAACTTCCACCTTCGTGGAACTTCTGGGGACGACTCCACAGTTCCACGAAAAGCCCCTCCTCCCCCTTCCCCGCCCCCCCCCCCCCCAAAGCTGCCACTTCCTCCACTGGAGGCGGAAAGTTTGCTCCTGGGAGCCCGGAAGGCGCGGCGCGTAGGTGCCCAGAGCCCCCGCCCTACCCATGGTGAGGCAGTGGAATCTCCGCGGGTCCCCCACGTTGTAGGTGGTGGCGGCGCAGACAGGTGCGTGGTGCTGAGGGTGTCCCAAGGCCGCCGCGGCCGCCGCCGCGGCTGCCGCGGCCGCCGCCGCAGCGGCAGAGCCCGGCTGCTGGGGCTGATGGTGGTGATGGTGGTGCTGCGGCGGGTGGTGATGATGGTGCGCGTGGCTCACGCGTGGGCAAAACTGCGCGTCCCCGGGACCCGAAGAGAACTGACCCTTGACCAGGGGCAGGGCGCCGGCGCCCCCCGGGGCCCCACTACCCCCGGCCCCTGCACTCCCCGTGGCTGCGCCCCCGCCGCCGGAGCCGGCGGGCCCGCGAGAGGAGTGCAGGTGCGAAGTGACGCAGAGTGGGCAAACGCAGAACGCGCCACTCTTGCGGGACGGGCAGGCGGGCCCAGACACCGACATCACCAGCGGGGACGGCATGCCCAGCGGGATGAAGAAATCTGGCCCGGGGTGCGGCTCAGGCAGCGAGGGCGCGGGCCGCGAGGAGTCCTTGATGATGAGCGAGTCGACATAGAAGGAGCGCGACATGTCGGGAGGGGTGGGTGGCCGGAGGGCCGGGCCAGCGGTGGCGCCCCCTCCCCTCTCCTGTTCTGAGCTCTGCCCCGGGCGCGGCGCGGACGCGGGCGGTCAAGCCCTCGGGGACGCGGAGGTGTTCGGCGTCTGGGCTGCGAACAAAGGGGTCCCTGGAGAGGGCTGGTCCTCACGTCCCCCGCCCGGCGCCCCGGCTCCGGGATTTTATAGCCCCCACCCCGGCACGTGATGCTGCGGAGTACCGCTCGGCTCAGGCTCCTCAGCAGCTCCCCACCCTCGGGATAGGCTGCCCGAGTCACAACAGAAGCGGCGAGGAGGGGCGGGCGCGCGGCAGGGAAGAACTCGAAGGAGGGGGATGGGGGAGACTTTGCAAAGTGTAGGTTTTGTTAATTTCGCGGGGAGGCCGGCCTCCTCCCCCTCTTTCTCCACGCTTTCTCGAGAAATCAGAGCTGCATCCCCCATCCTACCCCCTTCCCTAGTCCGGGCCCCAGCCCAACTCTTCCCCACTCCCGGCCGAAAAGCGCACCAGGTGGGGACCTCGAGGTCTTTTTAATGGGGATGCCCAGTGCTCCCCGCTCCTCTGTACCAGCCGCGGCTGGGCGCGGAAGAGTGTGAGGCCTGCTGTTTGGAGCACGATTGTGTGGGCGGCGGACTGGCGGCGCCGAGTCCGGCACCGCGGCTTGGACCACGGATACACACAGACACGCACAGACACACAGACACACACACAGTCCCCCAGCATTTGGACTTGGCCAAAGTCATTCAGGTGGTTAGTTCGTGACCAATCCGCGGCACAAGAGTGAAGCCTCCCACCTAAGAAGCTGCAGAGCCTTTCATTCTAACGCTTGAGACGCTCTAAAATGCCTTTGCACTTGGGGCTTTCCTGGGGCCGCTCAGATCAAGGACACTTCCTTGTGCTCCTTTGTAATGGGCAGTGTACCCTTTGGCGAAGAGACACGTCGTCGAAGAGTCACTCTCCGTTCTCCAAGCCTATGCATTTTCAGGACAACCCTGCAAACTCCGTCGCAATGATTTTGGAGAGAGGACCCAAACCCCAGCCCTCCTGGAGACCGGGCAGGCTTGGGGAAGGCCTTTGCTCTGGGTCCTGTGATTTTCTGCGCCTTTCTATTTTACAGACCTTGAGCAGCTCTCTCCCCAACCCCCTGCGTCCCTTTAAAAGCTGAAAGAGGTTGAAGGAATTGGAGCCACTCAAGGAATCCTGCCTCAGGATGGGAGCCATGGCTTGGTAAAGGAAATCTGAGGGGCACAGGCCCCAGCGGAAGACTTGCGCGTAGGTGGCTATGCGAGAGAGGGTGGCTGCCAAGATAGGGCCTATTGATCTCTGGGGAAGGTAAGGTGGCAGAGGTGACAGCTTTCTCTTTTTTGCCCTTTTAGAAAATCTGGTTGGAGCAGGGAGGGTGAGCAACCGCTACAAGTCTGATCCTTTTTCCAAAACAGCTGACTTCAGGCCTGAGTTCACAATGGTGTTAAGAAACTTGGGGACAGGACTCCCTCCACCTCTGAGAACCAAGTGCCCAAATCCTAGGAGAGCATCAGCTTCTCAGCTGGAGGCATGGCTATCTCTCTGTCCCTCCTTTCCCCTTTTTCATCTCTGGGACCGTTTCTTTTGCCTGCTAGAGAAGTGTAATTGGGTTGTAGGGACGCCCCGCTCTGGGGAGTCCAGGATTTATGGATGGCAATTAAAGTTTTATGAATTGCAGCTGAGGCTGGTTATTGAGCTATTTGAATGTGATTAGAATTCAATTAGAAAGCGGTTAGTGGACGGTGGGTCTCCAGAGTGTAAACAGACAGCTATTCCAGAAATGTGCTAATCCAACATCTTGTGACAACAATTAAGGAGTCTCAGGGCTTAACTCAGGGCTGCTCAGCTGTAACTACTTTTGTACCACAAGGTTTGGCGATGCAGCCATCACAGACGTTCAGCCTCAAGCCAGCCTGCCTGCCTATCCGCCCTCGCTCATGTCAGCAGAATGCGGTAGTCCCAGAATCATTCCAGCCCCAGGAAGAATGGAAGCTCAACCTCTAAGAGATGCTTAAAGGCTGGGTGTTTTTTTACAGGCCTGAATTGTCCAAACAGGTGACATGATTTCCCCACTCTGCAAGTGTGTGCGTGTGTGTAATTTATATAATATATACTTATGTGAGCACTTTGTAAGTGCTCAAAGAAAGTAATAGCTTTTCCCTTTCCTTTGTTCTCTTCTGGATTGGGTAAAAGGTTATCAGAGGTCTGTTTTTGGCTTACAGTTTGGGTCACTGTGTTCCCTGTTGTTCTGGGTGTGCTCATGGGAAGAACTCCTATGCTAATATGCTGGAATTTGCGCTTATGTGAGGACCATTTGACTTTAGAGAATCCTAATTATGAAGCATGAGCAACTAAATTAATTTATGTCTAAGTTTGGAAACATCCAGTTGGAGTGCTAAGGAATTTTAAGAAAAGTGAGAGGCCCATGGCATTACTTAGGGCTAAAAGGGGTGCAGTAGCTCGGGGCCAGACTTGAGGTGGAAAGCAGACCATGTCTGAGAAACTTGCCTATAAGAGAGGACTTGGTTAAATTGCTTGAGCCATGGTGATGAGCACAGGGTGATGTATGGAAGTGTTAAGTCACTATACTGTATGCCTGAAACTAATATGACATTGCATGTTACCTAAGTGGGATTAAAATACAAAGTTCAAATTTTTTTAAGATTTTTTTTTTTTTTTAGAGAGCGAGCGAGCTAGAAACAGCATGAGAGGGGAGAGGGTCAGAGGGAGAAGCAGGCTCCCCGCTGAGCCGGGAGCCCGATGTGGGACTCGATCCCAGGACCCTGGGATCATGACCTGAGCCGAAGGCAGACGCTTAACCATCTGAGCCACCCAGGCGCCCCAAATTTTTTTAAAAAATAAATTGCTTGAACCCACCAAGAGCAAGAATTTGAGGGTCACGTTCCACACTGGAGGCTCTCCTCAGATTCTCCTCATTAATTCTCTTGGATCTCTCAGTTTTTCTTTCTTTTCTCAACCCAGCCCCATCTTCAGAAGTTGGCCCCACTGTGGCTTGCCACCCCCATTCCCAAAGGAAGCCTACCCTCCATGGCCCTGAGCAGCTATGTGGCTGGCCTGCCCAGCCAGACTCTTCCCCAGGACAGCAGCTCCTCAAACCTGCTCAAAGCAGGAGGGGACCCCTGAGCAGCCTGTCAGTGTGCCCCCACGGTGCCCCCGCTGCCACGCAATTTTATTTCTCAGTGATTCTGTCCGATAAAATTTCATCGTCCATTAAGTAATCCCTGAAATGAGAGCTCTTATGAGCCTATAATGAGCTCTAATTGCCACGACTCGGGGAGCCACGTGGAAGGATTTATTCGGTATTAAGCAGTCGGGTACAGAGTACAGGCTGTTACCTAAGCCATTACTTTCATAATTCAAGGAGAAAATTAGTTCTTTTAAGGGGCAGGGGGATCCTTTGATTTCCTCCCTCTTGCTGGGATGACAGAGGATGGCTTTGTCTTCCTTGAGTGCAAGACAATGTCACAAATAAGAAGGTAACAAAATTGCCCCCCCTCCACTCCCCTAACACACACCAGTCAGGGTACCCCACCCTTACCCTCCAATGAGAAAAAAATCAAAGCAGTTCAGAGGTGCCACCTTCTTGCCCCTGGACTCTCACTTGAGCCTGGATGAGCAGTTTTCCTCCTATCTCAACCTTGAGATTTGATTCTTGGTTGTAGCTTTCAAGAAGCCTTCCAATACTTCCCCCACCCGGGATCACACCTGACCTGGACCCCACATTCCCCTCTTGTTTCTCACTCTATTTCCTTTCATGGGCAAAGTCAGGGAAAGCAAAGAATGTGGACTTAGCATTGCTTATTCTGCAGGCCCTAGAGTTCTGACCTATTGATGTGCTTAGCTGTTTTACCGGCTGTAACTCGCACATTGCCCTTTCCTCTGCACAACCCCCCCACACACAAAAGAGAGCCCCCCCCCCCCAATCCCTAGTCCTTTTTTCTCTCATTTTTTTAGCGTTTGCCCACACGGTTCTCCTGCCCCAAACAGAGACCGTGAGCAGGGCGGGACAGCCCAGGAGTTGGCGGGGCGGCCTCGGATTTATTTGCTCCTCTTACATTGATTTCATATTAGTTTCCAAAGCGATGAATGATCTCAAAGCTGGGTTTTGTTAGCCGAACACAAACAGGAGACAGGACTTACTTGCCCCCAGCTCCCTTTAATGAGGTCATTATCAAAGCGTGAACAAGTCTATGAATGTTTTATTGAAAGCGCATCGTTAACTTGTATCCATCCTTTTCTCTGAGTGGCATTGTGATATTGCTGTCTGTGGCACATCTTACCCGATATAGCCCGAGATTTCCCCATTCTCCGTAACCAGGCAACCCTTTCTGAATACCCAAAAATTGAAAAGAACCGCTTAGTCTTCAAGAAAGTCCTCAATAATAGTGGAAAAGAACAAAGATCCAGGAGACAACAAAATGCCACAGGGGTGACTTTTCATGAGCAATTATCTCTCATTAATCAGAAGAACAGCTGCAATATTAATTTTCTCTCTTTCTTCCTCTCTTTTCACAGTCCCCAACATTTGAATAATCATAAATTTTGATTTTATGAAGGAGTCACATTTTCAGGGGCTGGAGGAACGCAGCTACCTAGGTGAAGACAAGAAAACGCTCTCATTTTATTTTTTTGTTTTGTTTGGGTAAAGCTGCCAACAAAGCAAAATGTAAAAAAAAAATAAAAATAAAAACAAGAGGGATATACTAGAGAAAATGGTCCCCCCCCCCCCTTTCTTCTAGATGGCGGCTTAGAATCGGAACTTTTTTCCCCGCGTCGCCGCCTGACAACTCCCCCTCCCTCCCTTCTTTCCTCCCTCTGCCCAGACCCATTCCCCAGTTCGGCTCTGAGCAGGGTGGAGGGAAATGTCCCCGGCGTCTGGCGTGGGAGTTTCAGCTGGGTTTCTGCCCGTTTAACTTGCAAACGTGAAGCCAAGCGTTGTCGATCTGACCAAAGAGACACTCTTTGGGCGTAACTCGTATTGTGGCCATCAAAAGCCCGCCAGCCTTGGATGAACTGAGACGTGCATTCAGCAGAAATGGGGCGCTCGCTCTTCTTTCAGGAGCCGCAGAGGCGATTGTTCACAGGATGTATAGCCAGGGTGGAAAACGAGGATCCCCAGATAAGGCTGTAACCAGCAAACCGGATTGCGGGGCGGGGGCGGGGGGGGGGGATAGGTTAAAAGAATCTCATTAAAGCCGAGGCTGCAATTAGCAAATACACACTCTTGGAGAACCCAAGCCCCTCTTGAAAAGCCTCGAGTCGGGATGAAAGCGGGGCAGTTCGGAGGCAGTCCCCACATGCCTACGCCGGCAGAGTGAACAGGGGCTCCGAGGCCCGGCTCTCCCGTCAGCTGCCCGAATATTACTTTGAACGCAGCGCAGGCGAGCCCGTTCGGCCGAGAGGGCAGGCGGCGGGCCTCGTGCTCACCCACCACCAAAAGATGGCCTTGCTTCTCCCTAGTGTTTATTCAGAGCGGATGGGCCTTTGAGAAACCTCAATTCGCCTTTGTGCTCTCGACAGGCGCCAGAGTTCAATTCGGCCCTCGGAGAAGGGGGTTGGGAGAAGGCTGCTGGGAAACGAGTGAGGAGTCTGGATCAGAATTTCGGGAACAGCCGGGTCTCCGAACCCTCTGAACAGTTTTGATGACACCCAGTCCCCACCACACAGCCTCTCTGCTCCCCACTTCCCCTTAATTAATATTCGCCCACCCCCAGATCCTTCAGCCTAACAGGGCATCCCTCCCCCACCCTTAAAGCTCTCCTCTGTCATCAGAATAAAATTTATTGAGCGCCTACTCAGTGCCCAGCGTGTGCTAGGCCCTGCGGGGAGCACGCCTGAAAAGGCCAAGACTGTATCCAATAGAATATTGTTTCATTTCAGTAACAATGGCCTGAGGTGGGGAACAATTATCCGGATAATTGAAGCAAATGCTCCACCTCCCTCCCTCCCTCTCCAGTTCCCTAGGCGCTAGCCTTTTTTTTTTTTTAACTACCTTTTTCAAAGTTGGTGGTTTTTCTTTGGTCGGGGAGGGTGTTGGTGGGAGCCTAAGGGGAGGCCTGAATCATTCACACACATACGAATTCCCCACTTCCCTTGGCCTAAAGTTTGCTGAAAGCCCTGGCCTGAAATCGCTGCTTAGTAATGGAATTACTATTTTGTTTTTGTTTTTGTTTGAATGCTACCAAAAAGAGAGTGAAACTTTCTAATTTTTAGCCATCTAGGCTTTTTGGTGTTCAACCTTGGTCATCTGCAAAAATCACCCAGACAGCATTATAAAAGTATGGATGCCTTCGAGATTTTGACTTAATGGTATGGGGCCCAAGCTTAAGAATTAAACAAAAAACGCTGGCTGTAGTTCTGATTCAGGTGAGGGTCGAGAAATAACGGATAAATCCTACTCGCTACTCCTGGCACCTGAAGAGAAGAACTTACCCTCTCTGAGCCTCACTCAGCAGTTGGTAGCTGGAAAGCGTGTATGGTGTGCCTACTATATGCCGGGCTCGTGGCATACGGGGAATGCCGTTGTACAAGACTGGTCCCTTGGGAATTTCAACAACTCAACTCAGTGGCAGTGAATCGCAAAAGGTCGCGTGAATGTGAGAGAAATGACCATTTGGCTCTAGGAGTGGGTAAAGCTGAAGTCTGGGAAGGTGACTTGCAGAATGAGTGGCAGTTGGCCTGGGAAAGAGGGATGGGGAATGTGTTCCGGGCCACCGAAGGGCGCACACAAAAGCAGGGAAGATTTTCTCTTGGTTAATTGCAAGAACTGAAAGGAAGCCAGGGAGATTGGTGGAAGAATCTGTTTCTGAGCCTGTGAGATAGGAAAATGCCTGCCACTTTCCAGTCCTTGTGAGGAATTGAGGACTGCTTGGCGCCCCGCCTGGTGCCTGATAAGAGCTGTCGGTGGTTTTTATTATTATCCAGGATCTGCAGGTCCATGTGCCCTTGAGGCTGGGGAATGAAGTATCAGAGGGCTGGGCTTCGCAGAGGGAAACCAGGAAGCTGGAGCAGCGGCTCAATCATCTCTCCCAGATGGCACACCTTTTCCGAGCTGAGTTTCTACTTCCAAGGCTCCTTAACAGCCTGGAGCCTGCACCCCAAAGATGCCCAACCGGGGGTTTCTCTAGCCTTCAATTTCTGGACGAACCTGTCTCCTTCAGCAGCCGCATCAACATGGACCTGCCAGGGGAATTTCCCCACGCCCCACTCTATCCCCTTTGAAGGCCTGGTGTCCTGGAAGCCCCTACTTGGGACTGTTCCCTAAATTTCAACACTCCTTTGGCTTGGAGAAACCTTCCAAGCATTGCTGGTCTGTTTGGTTTTTTTGTTTTTAAAGTTTATTGATTTATTTAATAATCTCTAAACCCAAGGCCGGGGGGGGGGGCGGTCCTCAAACTCGGGCCGGGAGATCAGAAATCTTGTGCTCCTCCAATGGAGCCAGCCAGGTGCCCCCTTTGCTGGTCTGTTTTGCACAGGAGGAAGCAGGTGCCATTCCAGGATGCCAATCTTCATAGCCACCATTTCCTGAGCTCCTCCATGTGCCTGGCTCTGAATGAGGAGCCGTGCCGGCATGACCTCATTTTATCTGACAGATAAAATGCCATTATTATGGCTGTTGTTTTTTTTTTAAGATTTTATTTATTTATTTGACAGAGATGCAGCGAGAGAGGGAACACAAGCAGGGGGAGTGGGAGAGGGAGAAGCAGGCTTCCTGCCGAGCAGGGAGCCCAATTTCCCAGGACCCTAGGACCATGACCTGAGCCGAAGGCAGACGCTTAACACTGAGCCACCCAGGCGCCCCTATGGCTGTTTCTTGTAAGAGAATCCTCAGTCTTAAGGAAGTTCAAAGACTTACAAGGTCAGACAACTAAAGATGGCAGAGCCAGGATTCAGATCCTGTCTATCTAATGCAGGGGTGTGGGGTTTTAGGCACTAGGTAATACTATCTAATGATACCTAGCATTTATTGAGCACCTATTATGTGCCAGGGTATGACTTAAGCTTTTTAATGTATCTTTAATTTTTCACAATGACCCTGCGAGGTAGGTACTTTTATTATTTACTCATTTGATTTTTGTCCACTTCTTGGTTAGTGTGGTTTTCCTATATATTAAAGATCACAGAGGCCAGTTTAACGTGGCCCATATGATGGGGCACAAACTGGCACCGGAGAATGTGATTGTTTTTATGCCCCTACACCCTGAACATAGTAAGTGCTGAAAGACATTTGAAGTGGGTAAAAGCAACAGCTTATTCCTTTACTTCTAAAGCCTTGATTGTAATCAATACATAGGTCCACTGGTTGGTTGGGTACTCGCCCCTCCCCAAATGCCTGCAAGCTGCACCTGGACAGAAACTGGGTCTGTTTTGTTTATTCGCCGTCTGTGTCAAACACCTAGCCTAGAGCTGGCATATATTAGGAGATAAATATTTGTTGAATGATTTCTCATTTTACAGATAAGGAAACAGGCTCAGAGAGGCTACGCAAATTGTCCAAGGCACAGAGCTTCCAAGGGGCAGAGGAAAGATTCAAACCGAGGATTTCTCATCCTAAGACCCTGCTCTTCTTTCCACCCCAGCCCACAGCGTCCTGTGCTGTGTCGCCTGGACCACAGCGACTGAGCGGGCGAACCCCGGCTGCGCGTCTGGGGGCCAGTGCGAAGTCGGTCCTCACTCAACCCCGAACCCCAAACGCAGGTGAAGTCGAGGGAGGCCGCTCCCTAGATGGAGATAAATAGATTGTGAGAGGATGCGAGGCGCTCCCAGCGCGTCCGCCGCTCCCGGCGCTTTCGCTGCGGGAGCTGGAGACCCACACCGTACCCTCTCTGGGGTCTCGACTCTCTGGGTCCCGGTCTCTCCTTCTCCCTAATTTATTTCTCATTGGAAAACGAAGCGACTCTAAGGGATCGTACTGAAGCCACAGCCCGAGAACACCGCGACCGGCAACGGCCCCCAACCACCTGGCATCCACGCTCCGCGCTGCGTCCTCGCCGCGACAGGTGCGCATGCGCGAGCGTGTGTGCAAGGAGGGAGAATTTAGCGTCAATCTGTGTGCGCAAGCGCGTGTGAAGTGTGCGTGAGCGTGAGAACGAGTGCGTACGTGAGAGTGGGACACGGGGTGTGTGCGAAGCGAATGCATGTGTCGGCAAGTGTGTGAAGAGTGCGAATATGAGTGCGTGATTGTGTGTACTTGTGTATGTGAAGCGTGTAGGTGTTTCAGAGCTTGAGTGGGGGTTTGTAAGCATGACTGTGAATATAGGAGTGTGTGAATATATGAAGGGGCAAATAAGAGAGGCTGAGTGTGTGAGAGAGGGTGAGTGTGAACAGTATGCGTGTGAATGTGTGTGAGAAAGCATGTGATCCTGCGAGTCTGTGCATAGGTGTATGTGTAAGAACGTGCGCCCGCCAGGGCGTGTGAAGAGTATGAGCGGGGGCGTGGGGGATCGCGTGCGTGAAGTTTGCCTGTGAGAGTGTGCGTGCCCGGGACGCGTGCGTGCTTGGGATGCGTGCGTGGGGCGTGGCTCCTGGAGCCCGACCTCCGCCGCTCACCCCCACCCACCCAGGGGGCGGGCCACAGCAGCCCGGCGCCTCTCTTGGCGGAGCAGCGGGGTCACTGAGAGGGAGGGAAAGAAGGAGGGGACAGGAGTGGCCCCTCACGATGGAAACCTGCAAATAAGTGAGAGGGGCTTGGGGGGCATCACCGGGGGTCCCCTTTTTCACCTCTCCCCCAGTTTTCTTCACTCACCCTCTGGATCATCTTTCTGGCCATTTACCCAACAAGTATTTATGGAGTATACCAGGCTCTGCTTTACACGCTGGGAAAACCAGAAGAACAAGACAGCTTAGGTCTCACTCATCGTGGAGCTAACACGGGACTTTCAATTCATGTGTAACTGCTTTGCAAAATGCTGGTGTTATAAACACAAGTTTTGGTCTCTGCGCTCAAGCCAAGGGGGCATGGAGAGCTTAGAAGACAGAGTATGATAGCAGTAAGGCAGTACGTTGAAATAAGTGCCAGTGCATTCCATCCCCATCCGAACCACAACCCTTCCACTGTGCTCTTGAGCTTGGGCTTGAGGTTAGGCAGTCCTGGGTGTGAATCCCCCTCCTTGACAATGGAAATTATAATGGCACTCTTCTTATGGGGTGGCTGTGAGCAGTAAATGAGTTGTCATGACAACCCTTGGCACAGTGCCTGGAACATGGTTAGCACTGGGTATATGCAAGCTACAGTGATGCTGATGTTGATGTTCTGCTGGCCTGATGGAATGCTGTGGAGAAGGGGAGATGTGCTGTAGGTTTTTTTAAAAAAGATTTACTTATTTATTTGAGGGGGGAGGGACAGAGGGAAAGGGAGAGAGAGGCAGAGGGGTCTCTATCTCCGGACCCCGAGATCATGACCTGAGAGGAAATCAAGAGTCCCATGCTTAACCAACTGAACCACCCAGGTGCCCAGATGTGATGTAGGTTACACTGTTTGAGAGATTATCTACAGATTCAAATTAATTTGTGTATATTTATATCATATTGCTTTGTAGCATCAGGTTGTGAATATCTAGATGCTTCGTCTTTATTCATCTCTACTAACTTCTTACCCTCCTGAACCAATGTTATTACTAGTGCAGTTGTTAAAGGGAAGTTCTTTAGGGGAAGACAGCAAGAACCTATAAGAGCCAAATGTCCTTTCAGGCAGCCTTAGAAGCATTTTTAGTCCACCCATGTGCCATTAAAGTGAAAGGGAATATTTTCACAGTGACACAAAATGCATGCTGTAATTTAACCTTGTGAGCGAAACTTCCAATTAAGTATGTTTCGGAAGTATGTTTCCTGATTAGCCACGTACCTCCCTGGAACAAGGTACTGTATAAACAATTATGGGACATGGTAGTTTTGTTTTGTTTTTAATGTCTTACTGTCTTACTAAGTTTTTTTTTTTCTTTTGTTTTGTTTTTGGTGTTTAAACTAAGACCATAAGATAATTTTGTTTTAAACCAAAGAGAGTATCTTTAAATATTGAATTTCCTTATTTAGACTTTTTCAAGGAAAAAATATATTTTAAAAAGTCTTGAAAAATATGAGAATTCGTTGCAGCATCTAGGCTCTCAAGTTTAGTAGCTGGAAATGAATTTTGCCACTATCCAGCTGACCCATCCATCTTATGTTACAGTCAGAGAACCTGAGGTCCAAAGAGAAGTAGTGTTATAAGTGATCAATCCCTTCCAGCAGTCACCAATAGGACCATCTCAGTTTTGTTTCTCTGCCCACACTATCCACACTTACACATTTGAAGGAAGATATCCTGGCAATTAGGAGGAGAAAAGGGGGAGGATTTCCAGCTCCCTTCCAGACTGGCACATCCCTGTTGTGTTGTCTCAGTCCTAAACCCTTGGAATCTTCCTCAAATCCTCTCTTTCTCTCCGTACATTTAATTTGTGGGGAAGGCTTGATGGTTCTACCTTTAAAACATATCCAGAAACTGACCACTTTCAACATCCCAACCACTATCACACTGGTCCAAACCACACTCTGGTCTCCTGCAGAGCCTTCTGACTGGGTCCTCGCTCCCATCCTTGCCTCTACAATCTGTTCTCAATTTAGCAGCCAGAGGAAGCCTCTAAAAACAGAAGTCAGATTGGGTCAGAGTAAGAACCAAAGACCTTACAATGACCAAAAAGGCCCTCCATGATCTTAACAGTGGCTATCTCTCTGAACTCCTCTCCTCCTATTGGCCTATTCACTCACCCTGCTTTCCTTTCTTGTCTGACCCTCTCCTGCACTGGCCTTCCCCTCTGCTGAGAACTCTTCCCTACAAGTCCCTTTGCTTACCTTCAGGTCTTCCCTCAAATGTCACTTGCTCACTCTTTTTAAAATATCGAAGCCCCTACTGTGCCCTCTGCACTCCCAACCCCCCTTACTGTGCTTTATTTTGTTTTCCACAGCATTTACCACTTTCCAACATACTATATAATGTACAGAGTTTATGTGTTTATTGTCTGAATCTCCCTTTGAGAATGAAAACTCCTGGAGGATATTTATGTCCATGGGGTCACTAAGAACAGTGCCTGGCATAATAGTTGCCATCATCAATATTTGATGAGAATTCAAAAGAAGAAAGCCAGTGTTCCTGGTAGATGCCTGAACTCAATTCTATCTTACCTCTACATAGCACTTTGGAGTTTCCAAAGACTCTTAAATATGTTATGTCATTGGCTGTGCACAGTTATATAAGCTAGATTGGACTTTTTTTTAAATTGTTATTTCCACAATGAGATATTCAGAGGTTAAAGGACGTGTCCAAATCAGATCCAGGACTGGGATCTAAATCAGAGTGTCATTTTTGGTAGGAAACAAGTTCTCTATTCTAAACCTCTTGGCTAAATGAGGAAAATGTAGGTCACTGGATTCGCTGTGGATCCTTCTAAATTCTGGCCCCGGGATGAGGGCTGGGTCCTTCTTCAACTGCCTGCCTTTGCGATTATGTAGCTGTTCAATCCCCAGCTAAATAAGTGATGTTTGGGGGAACATTCCACAATGGCCACATCCTCTTGTTTTTATAATTTGCACAGGGTTGAAAACAAGAGATATTGTCTTGCTGTTAGCTCAAGCTCATTTGGAGTCTGGCCTGAATCTCTTGACTTGGCTGGATGCCCTCCCTCATCTGACTGCTCTGGGCAAACCAACATACTGTCTTAGTCAGTGCATTACAGTTCCTTCCTCATGTTTGGGTTCTCTGTCAGTCCATCAGATTTAGCTGATGAGCTCATTGACTGAAAACTGATTGAGCAAGACAATGTCCCTCATTCTCTAGGCACACACAGCACCATTGTTTTCCACAGATACTAGTGATAATTGACATCCTCTTATGAGGACATTAATATCTCAAGAGTAATCAATAAGCGCTGTTAGAGCAAGAATTTATCATATTGAACTACAAAGGTAGCAAAAAAAAAAGGGTAATATGATTCAGAAAATAGATGTTAAGTACAAAATTACCAATTCTGAACAAGTTTTAAGATAACACTATTTCCGGGGCACCTGGCTCGCTCAGTTGGAAGAGCATTCGAGTCTGGATCTCGTTGTCATGGGTTTGAGCCCCACTCTGGGTGTAGGGATTACTAAAAAAAATAAATAAATAAACTTAAAAAAAAGATAACACCATTTCCTCAAGGATGTTCACATGTAGTAAAATAAATGACAGTTACTTCTCTGTTATCTTTCAAATACCATGAATTATTACTTTCTTATGTGAATGAGGGAAATTTAAACATTTTGAGACAAGAAAAGAAATAGAACCATTTTTTTTAATTGATATATTGATTTGATGTTTGGGTATGGATTAACCCATGTCATCTCCACTTAGAATGTAATACACGTCTCAGTTATACACTGTTTTTCTGCCCCAGGTGCTCTAAAGGAACAGAGATGTTCATTATAAATGCAGAAGGCATAGTTCAGAAAGGAGCAATGGCAGCCGAAGTTAACCGCATCATTGCTATTCTGCAGGGGGCTCTTTTTTTTTTTTACCTCGGGTGCTGGTGGTGGTGGTTGTTGTTTGAGATTGAACAAGTTAATGGTGTTCCACACAATGTACCTAGGAATGATCATAATACCATTTATATTGGCCAGAAAATGACCCCTAGCCAGAGAAGTTTGTGTGTATTTAGTTGCCAATGAAAGACAAAGCATATCAAATGAATGGCTACTTTTTAAGATAGGGCCTAGGTCATACTGTTAGATGAACTTCTGGAAATAGAGCTACAGTTGCTATTGAAATTCACCATTACTTATCAAGTGCCTGCATGTGCTAGGTGCTGGGGTACAAAGATGACTAAAGCCTCACCACAGCCCCCAGTGAATTCTAATAGGTGTGTGATAATGGAATGCAGTAATCTATGGAATCATGGAGGAGAGAGCCATTCTGTCTTCCAGCTGGCATCAGGGACTCTGGGATTGGGCCTTGAACTATTTATAGGATATAATCAGATTAAAAACAACACAA